AAGCAGCCTGCTGGAGCTCAGCCATCAGGGCTGACGCTCATTTACTCTTCAGAATTACTCGTGCCATCATAATTCGGAAATAGAGGAAATTCATAAAACTGGGATTATAAAAAGGAAAAGCAAACAGAATCTTTACTCAATTGTCAACAGGTCAGAATAGAAGAAGTCAGAGGCCAGTCAGAAATCGGGTTTTGACGGCAAGAGAACAGCCCAAGGTGTTGTTGGTGGGGCGTGGAGCTCTGATTTGCCTTTTGGGTCAGGAGGGCCACAGAGCTCCGCCATCATTATGTAATACCACAGGAGAAAGCTCATGACTCAGCAGGGGTGTGGGTTCTGGGGAGAAACGTGTCCTGTGGGTAACATCGTTGTCCGTGCCGTTAGGGACGCCAGAGTCTGACTACCAGCCGGGCTGAAATGCAGACTCAGGGACCTTGCTCCTTAGAAAGACAAAGTTGAGATAAATGTGGAGAGTTGGGTCTGAAACCCCTTTCTCTGAAGAGTGTGTGTTGGCAGGGGGAACATTATCAAAACTGCTTCCCAGTGTGAAATGACCCACGTGCTTCTGAGGCTTCAGGCAAGGGTAAAATGTTCCATTCTCATCGAAGTAATTCCCAGCAGCAGTTTCTCATAATCTATGATTTCAGAGACAAGGTTTGTCAGCACTGTGTCTTTCATGTTAATTAACAAAAGGTTTTTGTTTCCATTTGTTTGTTTTTACGATATTCCTTCCTACCTGAAGTAAAGACTTGGGGGGGGGATGTTACCCATTAGTGGGGTCCACAGAAAAGCAAAATGTCCCCCACCTGAGAACGGGACCATCTGCTGTTAGGCTTGGATTTTGTTTTCAGTCCATGTTGCTTTTGAAAGGCGGAATCAGAAGAGGATGATGGTTTGATAATCTCTGCCTTCGGGGTGCTGAGAACAGAGGGTTGAAGCAACTCACTGAGGGATTTGGGAATTATGTATTAACCAGGGTCCGTGACTAAGAGGACTTCCTAAGATTATGGACCCTAACAACATCCCGGGTGTGTTCATTCAGTTACCTCCTGTTTGCTCTGTTTGCAGCAGTCAAAAGGCTCCCAAACTTGTTTCCTGGGGCTTCAGGGGAAGCTAGGAAGGTGGGAAGCTGCCGTCACAGAGGTGTGTGCAGCTAGCCCCAGCGACTGGGGAGAGGGTTAGGGTGCGACTGGGGGAGATGACACCAGAGGAGCCTCAGGGACCTGCTTCGAAGAGAACACAGAGGAAGGAAGAACAGAGCAAGTTGGGACAGAGCAGAGCCCAGGGGTTAAACTAGAGAAAGGCTGAGCAATCTTCCCTGATGTACCCACACTTGACCGTGGGGCACTTAACATCACGTCTGGCACATAATTGTTTAATAAATTAATGACTGAATTCATATAGTCTGGGGACTCAGGAGTTTATCAAGTCCAACCTTTGCTGAGTCTGTGCATCAATTTCTTACACGTTTGTGTGTCCTAATCTGTAAACCCATGAACTTCCTTTTGGTTGCAAAGGAGCCTCAAATCCATATATGGATCACACATTGTCTTTGGACAGAATAAACATGTCTCCCACAGCAAATGGATGTAGATGCTAAATGTAATTCGATATAATTTTATTTAAAAGCATTGCTTAGCTCACAGCAGCTTTTTGTCATGCATGTGTGGAAAGAGCCACAATTTTTAAAACAAAAGCTCGTTAAAATTAAAAAGGTTGGGACCACTCCTTTCTAGCCTCAGCTAATGTTCCTCCCTCATTTAAGTTTCATCCTTTTCCCCAGATTTCCACTCTTTGTACTGTTTCTGCCCTCAAGAAACCACACAGAGAGAAGGGCTAAGATTAAAATTGCCTCCCTTACAAAGCCCATTAGTTATACTCTAAGTATATTTCTGTTTAAAAATTCTTTTGTCCTGTTTGCAAACCTCCTAATCAGAAGAGGGGGAAATCCTTTTAAAGAGAAGAGAGGAGATGGATCTGGCTCCTGTGAAGTGTGTAGCACAGGTCCTGACTTGGGGGATGCTAGGTAGGTGGTTCTCGTGGCCTGCTTTGTTAACACCCGGGACTGCAAGTACCTGGCCCTGTCTCAGCCATTCAGCTTCACCCAGCAGGACATGCCCAAACTTCATTGACAGATCTACAAGGAGCTGTGTTACTGCAAATTCACCGTGTGAGCCTCGTATCCCAGGCCTCAAGCCCATTCATTAATGGGCATGGTGACATGGGGGACACTTCCTTCCCAAGAGACTCCAGTTCCTTTCCTCTCTTTCCTCTTCCTACCCAATTTCCTTTGGTTTTTCATATTTAAATGTTTTAATTGATTTCTGTATTTTTTTTTCTTTGAAAAAAAAAATAAAGAGGAGCAACAAGGACTCATTATTTTATAAATGTAGGGGTAAGGCACTGTCTTTCTTCACCCTGAGCTCCCCACGGGGCACAGGGTCTGTGTTGCATGCTTTCTCAGATGTTTTGTGTTGGTCTGTCTGGCATGCTATTCATGCTGTTGGAGAGGGAGTCCAACCTGAACAAGATGAACCACCGAACCTATGGCTTCAGGACAACCCAGAGCACCGCCAGTGGCTTCTCCCATGAAGGACCATATGAGAGAGTAGGGGGGAGACACCTTAATGTTTAAGGTAGGTCCTATGGAGTGAGTCTGAGTTCATCTTGTGAAAAGGTGGAGGAAGGGCACTCTAAGAAAATGGAATAGCATGTGCAAAGCTCGGCATTGAAAGATTATGGTGTGTTTGGAAAACAGCAAAAAGCAGATGGTGCTAAAATACTTTTAGTAGAATGCATAGCAGCATGAAGGGAGGAAAAAGTAGAGATGGATTGGTGACAGAGCTGATGGGGACTCAGACTGAGGCGGTGGGAATGAAGACAAGAAGTTGAATTTTTTTTTTTTAAGATTTTATTTTTTGACAGAGACAGCGAGAGAGGGAACACAAGCAGGGGGAGTAGGAGAGGGAGAAGCAGGCTTCCCACTGAGCAGGGAGCCTGATGTGGGACTCACTTCCAGGACCCTGGGATCCTGACCTGAGCTGAAGGCAGACGCTTAACGACTGAGCCACCCAGGCGCCCCAAGAAGCTGAATTTTTAAAAAATCCTTTGGAGGTAGCATAAGCAGGATTTGACAATGGATTAGTTATTGCCAGGAGGTCCTGGAGTGAATGCAACCCAGAGTTTAGGATATGAGGATGATGATCCATTAAATGAGATGGCAAATACAGATGGTAAATCAGGTTTGGGATGTTCAGAGAAAAGGGTAGTAACATGGAGCTGATGGCAAAAGCTAGGAGAAACACCAAATCCAAGCGTATGTTCTGGGAAATGGAAGTGAAGAGGATGAGACTTAACTTTTATCTGCAATACTGTATTTTTTTTTTTTTTTTTAGATTTTATTTATTTATTTAACAGAGACACAGCGAGAGAGGGAACACAAGCAGGGGGAGTGGGAAAGGGAGAAGCAGGCTTCCCGCGGAGCAGGGAGCCCGATGCGGGGCTCAATCCCAGGACCCTGGGATAATGACTGAGCCGAAGGCAGACACTTAATGACTGAGCCACCCAGGCGCCCCTGTAATACTGTATTCTTCTTATTTTCAAAACTAACTCGTATTTGGGGTGGTACACACAGGTACTTATATTAGTTTCTGTAGTTTATAATTTCCCCAAAATTAGTGCTTGGAGTTTTTTTCTGTAAGAGAAATTAAATAATGTATCAAGAATTTGGAGTACCTACTGTGTGCTTGGTACTGTTCCAGACATTTGGGATATTTGCCCCCTTCTCCTGGTTTCTTGCTTTCAGAAATTACCAAGCTTGGATTTCAGAAATTGCTTCTAGTTTTGGCTTGGCCAGAGGCAAGTCGCTTTTCTTCCCTGGGTCTCTTTCAGCTCTCAAATTCTATGGTTTAACAGTGTAACTGGACCTCAGCATTCTTTGTTCTCACAGAGGTGGGCCCCACAATGCAGGCTCTTGGCCTAAACAACACCATACAGAGAGTGTACACGAAGAAAGTTTCCCAAATGGTCCTTTACACCTCTACCTCCCACCCCACCCCAGCTCAGAATAACAGATTTTCTTCATGGGATTTCAAATTTGCAAGGGAATCTTGATAATTTTCTTGGTAATAGGCAATGAGTAGGAAATTTTATGTCCTAATTCCAGTAATTATTGCAGGATTTATAAGCATAATGGCCAAGAAAGAACTCTTGGGGCATTTTACAGGGCAACTTACTAAGCTTATTTAAGTCGCACGGGTACAGGAGTCGGGGGTAGAAAGAGCCGCCCTTTTGCTGTATGAAGCTGGTCCTTAAACGCATAATGCTCAAGGGGGAAGGGAGGGAGGGGACGTGCGGGGAGTATTCGATCCTAAGTATCTTCTTCGAACTTCTTCTACTTATAAAACTAATTTCACAAGATTTCTTCGGTGCTTATCATTCAGCTAGATATTAACCATTGGTGAGAAGTATAGGCAGTGATGAGACCCTTTAAGAATGTAGCAACCAGTACTATTTGATCCTTATCAGAACTATGCAGGCTGTAAGTCAGCCTTTTGGGCTAAAGGTGAACATTTTTTGCTTCTATCCCTCATCGTAATCAACAGCAGCAACTTCCATACATTCAGTACCAGCTCTTTTAGGTTCTGTGGAGACCAGTTCAAAACAAACCAAACTGCTTTCGTGCAGTTTACATTCCAGTGAAGGAAGACATTTAGAGAAGAGAGTGAACACCTTAGCGCACTGCACCACGACGTAGGGCAAAACAAAGGGAGGGCAGTCAAATACTAGTCCTCCGCCTCCTACAGAACCTAAACCCAAATCAGCCCTTCCGGGTCACCGCCCGGCCCTCAGGCCTTCAGACTCCGCCCACCTCCGGGCTCTGGCCCCGCCCACGCCCCTTACGTCAATTTTCTAGGCCTTGGCGCATTGGCCTGGCCAATGGAAAGCCGACCTGCTCGGGTCCCATTAAGGCCCGCCCCGTGAGTCGTCGCTCGCCGAAGCCGATGGGCTCCGGAGGTTGTGTGGCGCGGCGGCTCGTGTCGCTGCTGTGGCGTGGGGCCCTATTCCCGGGAGCGGGGCCCTCGGTGGGCTCCGGGCCGCGGCTTGGGCTGCTGGCCTCGGGGCGGCTTAAGGCGAGACTGGCGCTGGGCCGGGCCTGCCTGACACCGGACCGCGCGCGCGGCCTGCATGGCGGACCGGGCCTGGAGGAGAGGGCAGCCGGCCAGGGGCGCCCGGAGTCAGGCACAGCAGGTACCGGCCTGGAGGAGGGCGGCGGCGGCGGCGGCCCCTCCGGGCAGCCGGGAGCCGGGTCTCAGTCGAGGAGCCTCTGAGTTCCCCTATTAATGCATTTTCTCTTGGAGTGAACAAAGCTCCTACAGCTCAGGAGCTGGAAGGGACTTCAAAGATGTTGGCACCAACTTAAACTGACGTCTCCAAAACCCCAGACGTCCGAGTGGCCGCACCGGACCCTTGGCATCACAGCCTCACTGTCCTCAGCTCCCTTCATACTCTTCCTAGCGTCCCGAGAAGTGGACTTGGCAAGAGTGTGAGGGTGTGAGGATTTTGAGGAAGAGCTAGGGCTGGAGTCCAAGAGGTGCATAATAAGCGCTAGTGGGAGACGGGGTCAATTGAAGGTCCTCTAATTATTGCAAGTTTTTAGAAATTTGAGAGATTGTAAACAGATGTCATCTGTGAAAGGTTGGGCTGTGAGAGGGAGAGGTCTTAGTGGACTTAGCCAACGGGTTCTTGGGAATCAGTTTTAGAACGTAGGAGAGCTACAATTTACAGGTTCTAATACTCCAAGGTAAAGAACAGAATATGCAAATCTCTACAGAAAAAAAGAAAGTTAAGTTTTCACAGATAACTTGCTACATAACCCAAATGGCTTTATTAAGAAAACGTTGAGGATTCAAAATGAAAATCACTGTTAAAGTTTCACTGTTAAAGTTTTAGCTCTCCCCAAGGTTGGCTTGGGGCCTGCTCATTTATTCTGCTAGGCCTAATCTTCTTCATCTCTCAAGTGTTAAGATTGTGGACCAAATACTACCTAAGAGCCTTTTCAGGTCAACTACAACTACAGTTGTAGTTCTGTGTATGTTCGAGATGTGTCACTCATTTCCTCAAGTATTAGTAAACAGAAAGCCATTTGTTGTGGATGTATGGTTTTACTTGCATGTGGTAATAGCAAAGGATGTATGGTGGCTCTGTGTAACCTGAACATTCACTCTTCCCATAAAAGTTGAGTGATGCTGTATGAAACCACTGCCCAGGTTTAGCTTCCAGGAGGCCTGGACGCTGCTGTCTTTCAAAACATTTTAGATCCAAACACCCTCATGGAGGAGCAGTTTCATTGTTAGCTCCTGCATTTGGATGCATACAGAATCTTGTGCTTGGCCACCTGACACAAGTGAATCTTTGTGCATTTCAGATCATACTGGTCCCAAGTTTGACATCGATATGCTGGTTTCACTTCTGAGGCAAGAAAATGCAAGAGACATTTGTGTGATCAAGGTTCCTCCAGAACTGAAATATACAGATTACTTTGTGATTGGTAGCGGAACTTCCACCCGACACTTGCATGCGATGGCCTACTACATTGTGAAAATGGTAGGATGCTTTCTCTTTGGCATCATTAACTTAATAGAAGAGTGTCAGTGCATCATGCTGAGGAGCAGCACTTAAAAAGTGCATGATGTAAGAAGCCCAGATTCTCAGTATTTGCATGTGTTTGATGTTCGTTGATAGTGAAAGTTATGGGGACAAATGAGTCAGGATATTTCTAATTCTTGTCTCTTGTGGTCACTGAATGAATGAATGAATAAAAAATATAAATAAAAATATAAAAATAAATAATTTGAGGCAGGCTAGAAGACAGTATAACCCAAAGGAATTTCTAGAGCAGCACTGTTCATTGTGGTAGCCACTAGCCACATGTGACTAATTATAAAATAAAAATTCAGTTCTACAGTTGTACTAGCTATATTTCAGGTACTGAGTGGCCACATGTGGCTAATGGCTACCATATTGTACAGCACAACTATAAAACGTTTCCATAATTGCAAAAAGTTCTATTGGACCGTGTTGGCCTGTAGTTTAATTCAAATGTTTGAATGTGTCCAGTGTTTCCAAGCACTGTGCTGGGTATTGGAAGGATGGAAAAGATCTAGTCCTCACCCTCCGAATTCATAGGTCCAGTTGAGGAAAGGGAAGGCAGTTCATTTTGTAATTAGACTGAATAGGAATCAGAGTGAGGAATATACTTGGAGGCCTTTAGCTGATTCTGATAACACTCTAAAGGGGAGCATAACCTCTCTCAGCTAGTAGAAAATTGGTCAGACGGTTAAGACCAAAACAAAGTTAGGTTTGCCTAGAGAAGGGTGGTAAAATAAGAAGGGGACTGAAAACAGAACCCTGGTGCAATATGGCAAAGCAAAGGAAGATTCCAAAAAGTAGTTGGAGAGACAGAAAGAGAACCAAGAGGGCACAGAGTTATAAGAGTTATAAGACGGGGTCGCAGGATCTCTGTTAGATGTTCTAGTGGGACAGAGTAAGATGAAGACTTAGAAGTGACCATTGCACTTGGAGATGTAAAAGGAATGAGAGGTTTTCCATTTTAACCATTTAACCATTTTTAAAAGTGTGCAGTTAAGTGGCATTAGTTACATTCACATCATTGTGCAGTCATTTACCACCATCCATCTCCAGAATGTTTTTCATCTTGCAAAACTGATATTCTGTACACATTGAACAGTAATTTTCCATTCTCCTTCTCTATCCTGGCAACCACCATTCTGCTTCTGTCTCTCTGAATTCAACTACTCTAAGTACCTCATGTGAGTAGAATCATACCCTATTTATCATTTATGACTGGCTTATTTCACTTAGCATAATGTTTCCAGAGTTCATCCATGTTGTGGCTTGTGTTGGAATTTCATCTTTTGAAGACTGAGCATTTTATTGTATGTATAGATCACATTGTATCAATTTATCCATTGATTTTCATTTGGGTTGCTTCCACCTTTTGGAGATTGTGAATATTGCTGCTATAAACGTGAGTGTAGAAATGTCTATTCATGTCCCTGCTTTTAATTTTAGGATTGGAATTGCTGGATCATGGTAATTCTGCTTTTAATTTTTTGAGGAACCACCATGCTCTTTTCCTTAGTGGCCACACCACTTTACATTCCCACCAGCAGTTCACAAGGGTTCCAGTTTCTCTGTATCTTTGCCAACACTTATTTTCTGGGTTTTTGATCACAGTAGTCCTAATGGGTGGAAGTGGCATCTCATTGTGGTTTTGATTTGCACTTCCCTGATGATTAGTGATGTTGAGCATCCTCTTACATGTTACTGGCCGTTTGTACGTCTTTGGGAAAAAGCCTAATGAAGTCTTTTGTCTATGTTTTAATCAGGTTGTTTTTTTTTGTTGTTGTGAAGTTGTAGGAGTTCCGTATATATTCTGGATATTAATCCCAAAACAAGTATGTGATTTACAAATATTTTCTTTCATTCTTTAGGTTGTCTATTGGTAGTGTCCTTGGATGCACAAAAGCTTTTAATTATGATAAAGTCCAGTTTATCTGTTGTTGTTCCTGTGCTTTTGGTGTCATATCCAAGCAGTCATTGCCAAATGCAAGTGTCATGTGTCAGGAAGCCTTTCCACTGTGTTTTCTGCTAAAAGTTTTAGGTCATATGTTTAGGTCTTTGGTTTTAAGTTAGTTCTTGTACATGGTGTAAAGTACGGGTCCAACTTTGTTGTTTTGCACGGAGATGTGTAGTTTTCCCTGCCCCATTTGTTGAAAAGGCTGCCCTTTTCCCATTGAATGAACTTGGCACCCCTGTTGAAAATCATTTGATTGTATGGGCTTTCTTTTATTCCATTGGTGTCCCCTTGCTCACTGGTTTTGTTTTTAAGATTTTATTTATTTATTAGAGCACAAGCAGAGGGGGTGTGGGGCAGAGGGAGAAGCAGGCTCCTCACTGAGCGGGAAGCCTGAGGTGGGGCTTGATCCCAGGACCCCTGGATCATGATTTGAGCCTAAAGCAGTTGCTTAACCGACTGAGCCACCCAGGTGCCCCACCCTTTTTTAAAAGATCTTTATTTATTTGAGAGAGTACACAGGTGGGTGGGTGGGCAGAGGGAATCTCAAGCCAACTCTGCGCTGAGTGCGTGGCCTGTCACGTGGCACAGTCTCGCGACTCAGAGATGACCTGAGCTGAAACCAAGAGTTGGATGCTTAACTGACTGAGCCACCCAGGTGTCCTGCTTGCTCACTGTTTTGATTATGAAAGCTTTGTAGTTAGTTTTGAAATCAGTAAGTTGAGAGCTCCAACTGTGTTCTAACTTTTCAAGGTTGTTTTTGGCTATTTGGGGTCCTTTTAGATTACATATAAATAGTAGGATGGAATTTTCTACTTTTGCAAAAAAAGTCTTTGGGATTTTGGTAGGGATTTCATTGAATTAGCTTTGAGTAGTACTGACATTTTAACAACGTTAGGTTTTCCAGTCCATGAATACAGAGTGTCTGTTTGTTGATAACGTCTTTAATTTCTTTAGCAACATCTTGTAGTTTTCAGTGTACAAGTCTTTTTGTCTCTATGGTTAAATTTATTGGTAAGTATTTTATTCTTTATGATTCCATTGTAAATGAAATTGTTAATTTCCTTTTCAGGTTGTTGATTAGGTAGTGTATAGAAACACAGCTGATTGGGCATGTTAATTTTGTATCAACTTTGCTGAATTCATTTATTTTAACGTGATTTTGTGGAATCTTTGGGGTTTTATACATATAAGTCATGTTGCCTGTAAACCATGATAATTTTATTATTTCCTTTCCAATTTGGTTACCTCCCCCCCCCCCCCGCTCTGATTTCTCTGGCCAGAACTTCCAGCACCGTGTTGAATAGAAGTGGCAAAAGTGGGCATTCTTGGCTTGTTCCTGACTTTAGAGGAAAAACTTTCAACCTTTCACCATTGAGTAGGATAATAGCTGTAGGCTTTTCATGTATGACCTTTATTATCTTGAGTTTTATCTTTTATCTTTTTATCTTTTAGTTTGTTGAGTATTTTTATCATGAAAGGGTGTTGAATTTTGTAAAATACTTTTCTGCATAAATTTGAGATGATCCTGTGGCTTTTGTTTTTCATTTTGTTGATGTGGTTTATTATATTGATTGATTTTCATGTGGAACCATCCTTCCTTTCCAGGAATAAATCCCACTCAGTCATGGTATATAATCCTCTTAATATGCTGTTGAATTGGGCTTGCTAGTAATTTATTGAGGATTTTTGCATCAGTGTTCCTCAAGGATATTGGTCTGTAGTTTTCTTTTTTCTTTTTTGTAGTGTCTTTTGGCCTTGGTTTCAGGATAATGGTGGTTTCATAGAATGAGTTATGAATTGTTGCCGTTTCAATTTTTTGGAAGAGTTTGGGAAGAATTTGTGTTAGCTTTTGTTTAAATGGTAGAATTCACCAGTGAAACCATCTGGTCAGGGCTTTTCTTTGTTGGGAGATTTTTTCTTTTTTTTCTTCTTTCTTTCTTTTTTAATTGAGATATAATAGTGTTTGGAGGTTTTCAATTTCATCCCAATTCAATCTTGGTAAGTTGTGTGTTTGTAGGAATTTGTCCATTTTGTCTAAATTATCCATTGTGCTGATGTGTGGTTGTTCATAGCACTCATAATGCTTTTTTTTAAGAAGTCATGTCTCCTTGCTTATTTCTGATTTTAGTTATTCAGGCCTTCCGTTTTCTGTTAGTCAGCCTAGCTAAAGATTTGTCAGTTTTGTTTATCTTTTTCAAGGCCCAAATCTTGGTTTCATGGGTTTTTATCAGTTTTGGTTTTCTATAATCTTTGTTTCCTTCCTTCTGCCAGCTTTAATTTGTTCATTTCCTAGTTCTCTAAGGTGTAAATTTAGGTTGTTGATTTGGGAACTTTTTTTTTTCATGGAAGCTTTTATAACTAAATTTCCCTCTTAACACTACTTGCTCTGTATCCCATTAAGTTTTGGTATGTTGTAATAATCTCATTTGTCTGAAGATATTTTCTGCTTTCCCTTGTGATATCTTCGACTCATTGTTTTTATGACTTTTTGGTTTTCCTTCTGATTTCTAGTTTCATTTCATTGTGATCAAAAAATACACTTTGCAATTTCAGTCTTTTTAAATTTATTGAGAGTTATTTTACAGCCTACATATGATCTTTCCTAGAGAATGTTACATGTGCACTTTAGAAAAATGTGTATTCTGCTTTTGGGTGGAATGTTCTATTAATGTCTGGTAGCTCCATTTAGCCTGTAGTGTTGTTCAAATCATCTATTTCCTTATTGATCTTGTCTGGTTTTTTTTATCCATTACTGAAAATGAAGTATTAAGTCTTCTATATTGTTGTGTTGTCATCTGTTTCTCCCTTCAGTTCTGTCAGTGTTTGTTTCCATATGTTTAGGAGTCCTGATTTTTGGTGCATATGTTTGTAATCATTATATCATCTGGGGTATTTGACCCTCTTATCACTGTATTAGTATCCTTGTCTCTTGTAATAGTTTTTGACTTAAAGTCTATTTGTCTGATATTAGTATATCTGTTGTTTTGGACCATTCCTAAGACCTGTTGGGAATAGAGACATGGGATAATAAAATCCCATGAACATTGTCCTGAAGGTGGTTGATGTAGATGAGGACCAGATGTTAGAGTGAGCTTGGTCCTCTCTGCCTCAGAGACACCTTGGTGGATATGAGTAGGATGGCCCTTTCAGAAGGGTTTGGGCAGGAGGATTCAGTAGAGAGAGGATAGGAGGTAGGTAGGATTTGGGGGGGGGGAATAGTGTCCTCAACATTTATTATGGGGTGTAGTTGAGAACTAGCCTGCTCATTCCTCTTAAGATCAAGAAAAATACCCCCACAGACCATCCTCAGTGAGAAAAGAGACTTCCTCCATCCCCCCCCCCCCTAATATATAATCTGGCTTTTTTCAGTATAAATACCTGAAATGTAAAAGTGAGCCTCATGTTAAGATTGAAGGGAAGGACACTGATGACTGGCTCTGCGTGGACTTTGGTAAGTTATTTTGACATATTTTACAGATATTTGTTTTGTCCTAATCTGGAACTATTTTCAGTTGCAAAAGGATTTGAGATTCACATTGCTTTTTTTCATGTGAAATTTTTATTTGTTTACAGTAAGTTTTAATGATAACCCAAGAGGTCTTACTAGCATGTGAAAGCCTCACCTAATGTGATATGTACACAACTAGCCATGCAGGTCAGAAAGATGGTGGAGGGCAGAGTGGATAACATGGTAGAGATGGGAGAGGTCCTACAGTGGTGGTAGAAGGCTTGGGGTGTACATAACATTGGCCCAGAATGACTGATGAGGTGAAGGTTAAAGGGCATTCCAAGTAATGAGAAGGATAAGAGCAGAGGACTGGAATTTTGAAAAGACCTAATAAATTTGGGTATTAATATATACATAGTTTGAGCATTTCCCCCACAAGATACTTACTAAAAAGGGAAAAACAGTAATTGTTAAGAACTGTGAAGGGTCTGACATTTTAAAACAAGTTAGCTCTCCAGTTTCATGGGTATTGGTCAGAGACTCCAAGCTATTCCTGGGTTAGAGATGGCCAGTTTTATTACTCATCACAGTAACAGTAGCAGCATTTTTTTTCCTCACCCGCTTCCCCTGAGCCCCCATTTCTAATAGAGAAACACAGGGCCAGATGACATCTGCAGACAAAGTTCTAAGAGAGGAACCCTGTTTATAATGGGCAGGAAACAGACCCACACTTGCTGTGGTGGAAGACACTTTTTCTGCTAAGGCTGAGGACCACGTGATTCAGGTGGGAGTGGGGAGATACAGCCTGTGCATTGTAGGATGTTTAGTAGTCTCCCTTCTCTTCTCCAGCCCCATTTGTGAAAATCAAAAATGTCCTGAGAACCACTGCTATAAGTAAACCTGTCCTTTGCTCCAGAGGGAGGTGGCCTCTGAGACTGTTCACTACACGGTCATCCTTGAAAAGATAGTCTAGAACAAAAGGCAATTCATGCTTTGCTCATAGGATATGCAGAAATGTGATACCCATGGAGAGTGAAGTTAACATCACCAGGACTGTTACATATTGCTCCATGTACCTCCTGTATGATGCACTTAGAAAAGCAGAACGTCATTTCTATGGTATTTTTGTAGGCAAGGTATCCATAATTTGCATTTCTAGTAAATCCCCAGGTAATCCTAATCTGGGGTCCATACTTTGACACCCACTGTTCTATCACAGAGGTTTGAAAAGCACAAAAATAAAAGCTAATGAACTGCTTCTTTATTTCTTATCTGTCCTTGATTGATAGGCAGCATGGTGATTCACTTGATGCTTCCAGAAACCAGAGAAACCTATGAATTAGAGAAATTATGGACCCTGCGTTCTTATGATGACCAGTTAGCACAGATAGCACCTGAGACTTTACCTGAAGACTTCATTCTCGGAATAGAAGACACTTCATCCCCGACTCCAGTGGAGTTCAAATGAGAATAAAAGGATATGAATTGTTTCAGTCATTATCAGATCTGGATTGAGTTACTTCTTAAAAATACAGCTCTGAAACTCCACCTGATTGGTCAGGTTGTTGTCAAAACAAGCCTTATCTGTGGGCACTCATGCTAAATGAATGTGGAAATTGTAGGTAAGTGAGCTAATTGTCACACCAAGAATCAGTACATTTAAACTAAAATTTTAATATATTGTTTTTATTCCTGAGATCCCAGCAGGATTTCCCAGAGTTAACATTGGCCCCTGTACTCTGCCCAGTTTGATTTTGCCTGCGTGTAAATCTTTTATTCTGTAGAATGGAATAGTCATTTTTTTTTTAAATAAAGCAAAAAACACATAACCACCCCATTGGTCTTATTACTTAAAACCTACAGTTCTTACTTCATAGGCACCACTGTAATATCAAGATCCACAGTAAGTACTATAGAATGAAGATGATAAGGTAAGCACCAATATCTAGTGGTAAATTGAGATTGACATAGTATTAGTAAAAATCTGAGTTTATAGCTTGATTAAATTTGAACATTCACATTTATTTGAAAAACCAGAAATAAAACATACCATACACCAGGCTGCACCTACTGATGAAAAACTTTATTCTGCATCAAGGTATCTGGAAAACGAAGCTGCATTTGGGGCACAGTACAGATGAGGAATGATCCATGTGCGGTGAGTATAGAAACTCAATTACAGAATTAGATACTCCATTACCATTGCTTAATTAAAGGTAAAACGATTTGCTAAAGGCTAGAAGTGAAATATGATTGATAGAATTTTAAACCAGCAGATATAAATGCAGCACCTGTGTGTGTGTGTGTATATATATATATATATATATATATAAAAAAACAAACATGGAAAAAATTAAACACTGAGGAAGAGCTCTGGCCTAAGCACATCTCACCTGAAATCCAACCAGAAAGCCAGTCTATGATTTTATTTTTGCAATTCATTATATGAAAAAATTATGAATGCTAGGTGAATTGTGTGACAAAGGGCACTTTTTGGCTAAAACTACAAAATAAACTGGTTTTCTGAAAACATTTAGGAAAACATTTCAAGTCTTTTTCAAAATGTTTGATAACAGTGATCTTCAGAAAAACGTATCTAGTCTGTAGAAATTCATCTTGAAATACAAAGGAGGCCATATTTTTCAAAGGCTTATTATATATGCCCTTCAGATCAGTGTGATAATGATGACTGATCATTCAATGAACAAAAGCAACAATTCTGAGAGCAGTGTGGCCTTGGAGACCACCCACACCCACATAATTGTACATACTGGGCTTTGCCATCAAGTTTAGGAATGGGCACATGAATTCAGTATTCTGTATCAAAGGTCAAATGTGTTCTCATAGTCATTCAAATTATATGCCAAATATTGTTTTCTGGTATCCTCTGCTTTTTGACTTTTCAAATAATTGGTTGCAGAGAATACAGAAATCCTGCTATATTTTATGTAATATTTTAGGTAGCCTTATATTTTTCTTGATCATTGTTTAAAAATCTTCAAAATAGCTTAGTGAGGCTCATGACAGTGCCTGGCACATGGAGATGTAGCCTTGATACTGCCCTTAAACACTGTCCCACCGTCTGAGTACCCCATTAGTCTTCACAAAGCAGTTCTGTTGGGGTCTGCTCAAAGTGTAGACCAACTGGTCTGAAGTGTGTTGGCAAACTAAGCATCCCGTAGGACAAGCTGAAGCTTGCTTTTTGCCAAAGTCCACAGGGGCTGCATCTCTTCATCCATGCACTTTAGGTAGTAATAGTCTAAAGCACAAAGCATTTTTATGCATTTAATCACGTAGCCAAACAAAAAAACTGAAGTCTCCTGAAACTCATTTAAACTAGCCGTTCCAAAACCTCCTGCAACCACTTTGCTCTGTTAGTACCATCAAAAGAGTTCCCTACCATAAACGAAAAATTAAATGGTATTGCTGCTCTCCAAATATAGGCACTGCTCCATATCACTGAACATTTATTGGACTTTCCAACTAATGGTGTCAAAAGCCTCAAAAAACCTGAAATTAATTTTCCAGCTTTATGGTCACCAGCCAGAAGTAAAACTTTTCTCTTATTTTCCTGTTAGCTAATTAAAGTTTTTTAAAAAACTGTTGGACTTTTATCTTTATAATGTATATAAAATTTTTCAAAACAAAAACAAAAACAAGTTGCTTTCATTGCATTACTGAATACCTGAGGTAGTTGAGTAAAAATGCACGTTTAATACCCCTGCCAACACCATTCAGCACTTCCCTTAGGTTATTCATGTTAGTGTTAGATAAAAATAAAACTGAGAACAGTTTTTCTATGCTAATAGCTTAAGTTCCTGTAATTATTCTATTCTGATCCAATTTTAACAATTGGATTTGGGAGCAATCTATATTTTATGAATTTAGTGACTGCATCATTAAGCCGATTTCTGGCATTAGGGGGGTATATTAAGAAAAATTAGAATATTTGTTACACCGAGAATACAACAAAAGGGAAGTGCAGAGCTCCTCTCTTTCCCTCCCTCCCCCCCTTATTTTTTTTAAAGCTGGGTGTCATACATTTCAGAGAGCATAAAGTATACATTCTCACAGAGACAGGAGTTCAAAAGTTGCCTGGTCCTCAGAAACAACTGGCTAGGTAAAAACTTGTGCATGTAATTCTGGATATTAGGGGTTCAGCGCCCGTCTGTTGGTTAAGCAATCTGTCTTTGGTTTGGCATCTGCCTCTGTGGTGGGCTGTTTCCTGAGCCTTTACTTCCGTCTTGACTGAGGTGGTCCACTTTGCAGAGCTTTCTGCTGTTGGTGCTGTTTTACCTGAGTCAAAATTTCCTGAATTTTTCTCTGGGCAACCTGCAAAAGGAGAGCGATTTGAAATTTCTACCTAATCAAAGGTTACTAAAAGTGATTTTACTCTTCCATTTCAACAACTTCAGATTTGAAGGTTAAAGATACATACTAGTTTAGTTTCCTAGTAGTCTGAAATTACCTGCTAAAAACGGATTAAGCGTGTTAAGCACCAAACAATGCTGAAGATTTATGTGGGGTGGGGCACACCCACAGGAGAATTGCTTCCATTGGGGAAAGAAGCAAAAGAGCTTATCACATTAGAGCCCACTTGCCTGGCAAGCATAGAAGTGACCAGTTATTTTCACAACCACTTGGTCATTCTCATCAGGTGTCTGGTCACGAGGGACAACTACTTCTGCACTTGACAAATTCTGGAGCTCATTCACCTGAACAAGATAAACACATCATGTTAAATTGAGGTTTTAAAAAAATTACCATTTGCTGAGCACTTACTATGTGCCAAACACTAAACTGTGGCTTTACAAATTACATCTAATCCACTGATAATTCTATCAGGTTATCAGTACTGTGCCCATTTCAAGATGATAGTAAACTAGTAAACTATCTAGTAATCTAGATAGTAAACTAAGATTTAGCCAAAAAAATTGATTTGACCCATTACACAAGTGAATAGCAGAACCAGACTGAATCCCTCAAAGTCTGATTCCAAAGTGGATGTACTCCATTACTTCCAAAATTATAAATAGCTTTGAAAACACCTTAGAAGTTATATGTGCTAAAGAGAAGCTGGCAACCATTTGCTTTTTTGTTACAGAGGTAGGTTATAAAGGTAGATGACATTTTAAAAAGTTTTCTTTCCATCAAGTGTGCAAAAATCAAAAGCTGAAGTTACGTCAACCAAAAATGCTAAATGCCCCTTGTACATGAGAGTCCTCTCACACACAGTGGGCTGAAAGCAAGGCATTACTTCAACTAGTGGCTGACACCAACACTCAGGAAGAACAAAAGGCAGTCTTCTCCAAACCTTGGCCCAGATGATCCTGCTTTTTATAAGTTAGCCCAAATTCAGGGACTTGGAACTCCTAAGTACCTTTCAACGCTTTCCCTTTCATACCACTGCACAGGTTTTGCTGAAGTACTTGCCGTTTTGCCTCCTTTTCCAATAACTCTGCCAGCAGCAAAGGACGGCACTCTGATATGAGCTTCAAGTTTCACCTCTTCTTTAGGACTAACAAAGTTTTCTTCTTTAATTTTTCCATAAATTCTTCCCTGAGCCTACAGATGAGAACATATCCTATCAGTGTCATTCATGAAGGGAAAGAAGGTCCATTAACTTCAGAGATGGCCCAAATCCACTGGAATGGCTCTTGGTAGGGACACCTGCAGGTGACAGACTGTTGCAGATGGCCTAAGAGGCAAAGTTAGGAAGGCTCACAGTAACAACCAGGCATCACAGAGGTGGCAACTGAATGACTGACTGAAGAATATGATTTATTCTTTGAACAAAAAGAATTAAAGCCAATTAGTACTCAGCCTAACTAAAAATAAATCATTTTTGTGGGCAAATGGCCATTTGCCCTCAGATTGTAAAAAGTAAAACCTTTCCTGCTTTCAGTAAGAAAGTAATTGCGTTTTTCTTGAGGATAAGAGATGAGGAAGAACTATAGAGCCAGCTGTGGCAGGCTCACACCTGCTAAAAGGATATTTTCTATTGAAGGGTTTCTTCATCTTTGCCAAGTGGCTTCTACTTTGAATAAAGCGACAAAATCAGGTTAACACACACTTATGATATAGTCAACACATCCTGATACCTACTGCATGCAAAGAGACATTATGCTTAAGAAACTTCTATTATGTACAGCCATTAATTTGCTCTAGTATATACCAAAGGATAAAGAAGTCAGAGTTGGTTTAATCTGACAAGCTACCAGGGTAAATCATAAAAACAAAAGTACCCAACACATTTTACATTTTCATTGGTGCAGAAATGATAAGCTCATTAGAGGGGGTTACAGAAAAAACAAAATCCATCTTGGTACCCTATATTCCATTAATTCTCATGTCTCAGGCCAGAGATCTAGGTATTAACACAGTCAAAGGACATAGGAATATACATCCCTCTTCCAAAACAAAAGCTCTCGAATTCATCAGAAAAAATATGGGATAGGAGGTTTACCACTCCTTAGATCTCTAAAATAATTCACTTGTAATTATCACTGATCACACAAATATTTAAGCATTACAACTTTTCTTAAATATTCCATTTAAGATGACTATACTATACCACATGGGCATTGAAGGATTCAGGGAAAAAAAGCGAGTTTCCCAGCATACAATTATAGGAATTTTAAGATAGTAGTTCCATTTATAAAAAAGAGCTCAGCACCAAGAAGAAACATATAGTAATTGATGTCTCTGTTTATCTTTTAAGATTTCAAACTAAAAGTGATTGATCCTGTAGGTTTGGGATAGGAAACAGTTTGCAACGTTTCTGAGTTAGGACTTCAACTGCCTGGACCAGAAGGCTGGTGTAAGAGACTAAATTTCTTCACCTGAGTTAGAGCCCAGCCAACTGCACCCACATCTCAAAGCACCTCCTTTTGTTTCCTGTTCTTCCTGTAAATGAAGTGAAAAAAGCTTTGGATTTTTACTGAAAGAGAGATCTATGAAAGTGATATTTTAAAAGGGGGGGAATTGGGGAGAAGTAGGCACTGTTACTAGCCGCATTTTAGAGCTAAGGGAACGTAAGGTTCAAGAGTTGTCCTGTTATACAGGTGGTAAGAATAAGACATGGGTTTGGGATAAAGTAGTTAAATTTTAATGCAGTAGTTATTTTTACAACACTTGTACTAAGTTTTACGAGAGAAATCATGTACTTGAAAGTATGTGTTTGAGAATTTGGCAGAGTCAGTCTGATTCACCCCGAGTCTGCTGAACACCACCATCAGCTTATTTATTGTGCTTCCTATGTGGCAAGGAATATTCTAAGCACTTTATATATTCCTTATACCTTATAACCTTGTTTCAACCTTGTGGGTGTTCTAATCCTCATTTTACAGCTGAGTAGCCAGAGAAAGGTTAAGTAATTTGCCTAAGGTCACACAGCAGATAAATGATAGAGCTGGGATTTGAACTGGCAGCCTGGACGCCCAGTCTCTGCTCTTCATCAACTCTCAGTATACAATGAAGGGCATTCCAGCTGCAAAGGTCCCAAACCCCAATAAATATAAACAGTGGTTCACACCAGGACACATGCCAGAAGAGTTCCTACCATTTCTGCTTCTAAAATTGGAAGGATTAGAGTGATTTGTGGTCAGACTCTGGACAAGGGCTCAGAGTTAATAGAAGAGTAAGAGAAGGGGGGGGGGCATTTTAATTCAAGGTTAAGGCCTCTCAAGGACAAGAGGGAAATTTGGGAAACAAGCTTTCCACGGCATAATAACCGGACAGGTTTGTAAATGTCAGTCTTAAAGGTCTCACCTTCGCATAGTTAAGAAGGCACTGAGTAAATTCTCCTTTGGGAGATAGGTAAACCCAGCAACCATTACAAAACTCAAAATTGAAACAAAGTCTTGTTTTTTTGTTTGTTTGTTTTTGTTTTGAAATGTAACTCTGGGTATGTTTCTACTCTGTTCTTAGCCTTATGATTTTCCATTGGGAGATTCTTTACTGATTTTATTAAGGGAGAAGCCAGGTTATGGAGTTCCTGAAAAGAAAGCATTTACATTCTTTGAATCCATTCATTTGTTACCTGTGCACACACTCTAGAACACATACCTTGAACTGAGCCTCTGGTGGCCCAGTGATAATCACCATCCTCACTTTAGCATCTGGTGCTTCAGCTGGAGCAATCTGTAACAGACACATCAAGGGGGGGATGACACGTTCAGGTGCCACTGATAGAAACGTTACATACACCAGCCTGACATTTGTGCACGACTTACTAAAATGTAAAATGAAAGCCTTCTGGAAGAAAGCTACAGAGCAGCAGTGATTAACGTGGGTTCATTATTTCTGGCTCCTGCCATGAACTGAGCACTTACATTGTGCCCAGCCCTGATGTAAATGTCCACATGCAATCTCAGCTAATCCTCACTGGGTTCTAATGAGGTGGTACCTGCACTTTACAGCGGGGAAACAAGGCTGAAGGAGTTACCTGGCCCACCCATGATCACATAGCTAATCCAGCTGGAGGGAGAACTGGATCTGTCTCCACTGCCCATGTTCCTCATTACTACACCAATGGTGCTCGAAGTGTGGTCTTTGGCCCATATGCATCAGAACCCCCAGGTCTGTATGTGCAAGGAACTGCTATGTTCACAAATCTAAGACTATTGGTAAATTCCCCTGAAGTATGCTCATTAGAATAACATGAAATAAACTAGCACTAATTTGGCAGAAGGAAAGTAAATGGCTTTTCTATTTTTGCTGAATATATGAAATCACACAAAAGGGGCGCCTGGGTGGCTCAGTCGTTGAGCGTCTGCCTTCGGCTCAGGTCAGGATCCCAGGGTCCTGGGATCGAGCCCCGCATCAGGCTTCCTGCTCCGCGGGAAGCCTGCTTCTCCCTCTCCTGCTCCCCCTGCTTGTGTTCCCTCTCTCGCTGTGTCTCTCTCTGTCAAATAAATAAATAAAATCTTTAAAAAAAAAAAAAAAAAGCCTGGGCCGGGGGAACTGTTGCAGAGGCTATTGAAGGGAGAGGAAACCAGCATTCTTCCTCAGTCATAGGATTTGGGGACCCAGCTGGTAGTTGTTTTAAAAGAAAAAAATTTGCTAGACATATGCTGTATAAGAAGCAAATTCTTACTATTTACCAAATAGATTATTATTATGTAAGAACAGGAAGCAAAAAAATGATAAAAACTACCCTAAATTCTACCATTATGATCCGTCAGTTATTAATGTAGTTACTAGATCTCTTCCCACACATGTTTACAATCAAAGAATGTTTTTATTTTTAATGGAGTCATCTTTTCTCTCTTCCTCTGTCACCTACAGCCACACTAATACTATTCCTACTTTATGCTGGGCACTAATTTTGAGTCTATAAAACAAGCAAATAATTACTTCCCTTTAGTCTAAGCTCTTAGAATTATTCACAGGAAACCCCTGGAACAAAAATATCATTCTTTATCTTTCTGACTAGATTTGTCAATACTGGTGAGGGAGGACTGGGGCTAAGGGCACTCATACATGGAGATTAAGAATATAAATTGCTATAGTCTCTGAAAAGCCTGAAAACACATGCCCTTTGACTCACCAAATCTACTTTTATAGACTTACCTTAAAGAATAAGTTTGTATGTAACAATTTGCTAATAGAACACGGCACTATTTGTGCAGTATAAGTTAGGAACAGTCTAAATGTCCAATAAGTGAACACAAATAATTGGCAAATACCAAATATATGCCTATTAAGTACATATATGAAATTTATGTATATGTAAATCTAGCAAAGTGTTAAGAATGGTGGTGCATCTTTCAGATTATCTATGTTTCAGACTTTCTTGGAAAATATTTTACCCTCATTATAAAACCTCTAAAGCCTGAAAGAACACTGAATACCTAAATATGCAGTTTTTCCAAAGGCAATCTACTAGGTTCTTCTTGCACGTGTCAAAGACTTATTTTTAACTCAATCAGGAAACTTGTAGCACAGTAAAGTTGGTTCACCCCTCAGTCTTTTACCATCTCTTTCCCTTTATCTGTTTATCTTGGCTGCATTTCCTGTTCATGTATTTTGTTATCTTTTGCTACAAGAGAGCATATGAGGGCTATTTCTGTGTTTTGCTTTTTTATTAACTATATAATTTACATACAGTAAAATTCATTTTTTGGTAACAAATGCATAGGCAGATCACCACCACCACAATCAAAAATAGTTCAGTCACTCTCCACAATTCTTCCTGCTATCTCTCTTTATATTCAAGCCTATCTTCCACCTCCAGTTCCTAGCAACCACTGAATTTTTTCTCTATTCCTATAGTTCTGCCTTTTCCAGATTTTACATACGATTGGATCATAGAGTATGCGGCCTTTTGGGTCTGATTTCTTTCCCTTAGCATGTAACATGAGATCCAACCAACATGTATATATCAGTAGTTTGTTCTTAATATCCTCTGTATAGGTGGACCACAGTTTATCTATTTGCCCTTTGCTGAACATGTGCTGCTTCCCCTTGGGCGATAGCTGCAAATACAGATGCTAATTTGAGTCCAACTTTTTTGTGTACTATTTTTTTTAACATTTTATTTAGAGATTCATTTATTTATTATGAAAGAGTACACGTGTAGAGGGGAGGGGCAGACTCCCCACTGAGCTTGGAGCCCTACATGGGGCTCGATTCCAGGGTCCTGAGATAACGATCTGAGCCGAAATCAAGAGTCAGAGGCTCAAGTGACTGAGCCACCCAGGCACCCCAGTACTGTATTCCTTTAAATAAAAAATCTTAAGGGCGCCTGGGTGGCTCAGTTGTTAAGCGTCTGCCTTTGGCTCAGGTCGTGATCCCAGGGTCCTGGGATTGAGCCCCGCATCGGGCTCCCTGCTCCATGGGAAGCCTGCTTCTCCCTCTCCCACTACCCCTGCTTGTGTTCCCTCTTTCGCTGTCTGTCAAATAAATATTAAAAAATCTTTAAAAATTTTTTTTATAAAACATTAACAACAGGGCGCCTGGGTGGCTCAGTTGGTTAAGCGACTGCCTTCGGCTCAGGTCATGATCCTGGAGTCCCAGGATCGAGTCCTATGTCGGGCTCCCTGCTCAGCAGGGAGTCTGCTTCTCCCTCTGACCCTCTTCCCTCTCGTACTGTCTCTCATTCTCTCTCAAATAAATAAAATAAAAAAAAAACATTAACAACAAACACCCCACTAGACTGATGTTTTTCTGAAGAAAAATTTCACTGCATTGAGCCATTATCAGTTTGTGCATATGTTAAAACACAATGAGCTATCTCTTATATTGTTTCTCAGCATATCAAAATACAGAATCTTCAGAGCACACAATTCTCTAGTTGGTGGATACCATTAACTGTCCTCTGATATTTGTTATCCCACTTTCCATAATAATAAAATATTTAGCTCAACATTTCCCTGTTGCTCTTTCAGCTGCGTCTGGCCTTCTGATGCAGTTTCTGAGCAATGAAATGGAGATAAAAATATCTACAGCGGCTAATAAACCTCTGTAAGAGGAAGGTTCTTAGTGTTCTCCAACTGGCTGGACCCCAGACTTGTGAGAGCACAGAATATTGTCATTTGGGGCCAAGAGGGACCAAGGCCATGCCTGGGGAAGATAAGCTAGAACTAACCCAGGTCCAGGGACTTAGTGGGCCAGAACTACCGCACCAGCGCTGCACTGCTTACCTCCAGACTACTTTTTTCTGAGAAGGCAACTTACTTTGTTGAAGCTGTTGTTCAGGGTTTCCTGTTACACCCTATGTAGCTGCGGTATAGACTGCCACATGCAGTTCAATTATGAAGTGGCGGGACGACTCATGTTCCTGTGACTTACTGTCATTAAAGCACTAACAGCCACGGTTGGCAGAACAGTACCTTAATAGAAGCTCCTGCAAAGCGAGAAAGCTGCTTGATGTGCTGCCCCTGCTTGCCGATAATGGCGCCAACAGATAGGGCTGGGATAAACAGATGAACAGTCTCCGTTTCTGATTGCTGCTGGAAAAGACAGGACATACGTGTGTATTTGGTAAAATTAGGCTATTATCATTGGCAGAGGGGTGGGGGCATTCTCATATGGTAGGAATATTAGGAAGTCGATAAGAGTGCTGGTAAGAGTTTACCTGAAGTTGAGAACATCTCCTATTCATCCTGAAAGCATCTGAATTTAAAAGGTCACTTTTCCCTACACAGTTTTCTTCAACTTTAGGATGTCACTGATTTACAGATTTAAAAGGTTAAGTCAGAGTCATAAAGTTTAGATTCTTGACAAGTGAAATTCTGGGCCACACATCACTGAACGCAACTGCATCCAAGGACACCAAGTCTACACCTTATCGGTGTAGGTTTTGCTTCATAAACACATACCTGATGAACTAGTCTCAAAGAGAAGAACTCCTGAGTCTCACTACATAGGACTGAATTGTGTAAAACCTTAACACCACCATTTGGTACACAACCACACCCAAACATAGGACAGGATTAGAAGAGAACACTCACTTTAGTGGCAAAACGCCCTAAGATTCTTTCCCATTATAGTTCGTTATTCTTCCCTTCTCTGCCCTTCCTTTGCCACTTAACACACGGACAAATTGGAAAACATTTTTAAAGCTAACTCCTCAAAGGTTCTTCAAATATGGATTTTATCTATACACTTCTCAACTTCCCACTTCAAGCCAACTATGTCCTTCCTGAATCATTTCCCTTCAAATAGTCATTCTTGTAGGGCTAACAGACACTCAAGAGAACACAGTGACTGGGTTCAAAAAAAAGCTAATCCAAGATTCAGTGATGTTACTGGTGAGCTACCGGTTCTAAAATGCAGAAGCAGCGCACATGTTCATATATTAATACTTGTTTACTTTTTTTTTTTAAGTAGACTCCATGCCTAGTGTGGAGCCCACCGTGGGGCCCAAACTTACAACCCTGAGATCAAGACCTGAGCTGGAATCAAGAGTTGGATGCTTAACTGAGCCACCCAGGTGCCTCAGTACTTGCTTGCTTTCTAACAACATTAAGAAAAACATGCTTCCCAGGATAAGTCAATTCTAAGAAATTTACTCCAGGAAATACTTTTTATTTTCTAAGACTTTTTTAGAGCAATTTTAGGTTCACAGCAAAATTGAGAGGCAGGTACAGATTTCCCATATATGCCAAGAAATATTTTAAGATGAACCACAATTGAATATACTAACTCAATATGCAGTTTTTTAAAAAGTTCACCTACGAAGATTTATAGAGATATTAGAAGATATATTGCAGTAAGAAATGTACACATTAACTACTTGGTAAGAAACACTTCACAGAATTCTCTCTTGAGCCTTCTTAAATTCCTATTATGGAGGATACGATAAATTCCATTTCCAAGTACTCAAGTTGGTCCCTCAAGTACTGTAGTATGTTCACACAGAGCCATGAAACAGCATCAATCTAATTTCTAATTTACAAACCCTCTCTAAATTTGTAAAGTCTTGAACAAACAGGTCAACGGTTTGGCTTTCAAACATCCCAGGAACTAGGAAAATCTTTAGAACATGATCATTTTAAGCAGTTTCTGAAAATCTTAGTCAAAGGAAACAGGAGCACTGGGCTCATTCATTTTTACTGGATGTGGAACAAATTTTATGCTACCTAATGTTAGTCCACCAAATGACCACCACTCTTCCAACACAAAAATTGCCAGGGGCATTATCAGCTCCATCTTCTCCCTATTAAGCCCAGAGAGCATGGAGCACTCCACACCATGGGTCTATGGGGAGATGGTGCTCAACAGCAGAAACCCACATATGGATGAATCAGCCATTTCATTTGTCCCTCAACACGCACTTACCAGAAGGCCATTCCACCATAGGACAGTTTACTCACACTATTTGGTAGGAATTTTTTTTAGTAGTCTTTATAGTTTCCTTCCTCTGAAGCCAAGATTTTTTAAAAACTAAATTAGTAAACAAACACTCTGGAAATAACAAAAAGGCTGGGCTGGTTCTTAAAGGAAAACCTTTTGTCTATCAGTTAAGAAATTGAAATGGGGGCGCCTGGGTGGCTCAGTCATTAAGCGTCTGCCTTTGGCTCAGGTCATGATCGCAGGGTCCTGGGATCAAGCCCCACATCCGTCTCCCTGCTCACTGCGAAGCCTGCTTCTCCCTTTCCCACTCCCCCTGCTTGTGTTCTTGCTCTCGTTCTCTCTCTCAAGTAAAATCTTAAAAAAGAAAATTGAAAAGGGGAAATATAAGATAAAAAGATACGTCAATAAATCTGAAAATATAAAAAATTTGTCTAGTACGATTTACCAAAAATCAGAAGAATTTACATTGACCTAAACAACTGTTAACTTCTATAATCAACTAATTACCTAAAGAAAGCACCAAGCCCAAGTAAGTCTAATTTTTCCAGGCAAAATGCTCAGGAAGAATGACCAAACCCAGTGGAAAAGAAGACGTGGGAAACTAGGTAAGGACAGGGGGGAAATGGATTTAATAAGCCAAAATAGTCAATGAGTGGGAACATGCTACAAATAACATGTCTTTGTTTTTTTTTTAAGATTTTATTTGACAGAGACACAAAGAGAGGGAACACAAGCAGGGAGAGTGGGAGAGGGAGAAGCAGGCTTTCCACTGAGCATGGAGCCTGATGCAGGGCTGTATCCCAGGACCCTGGGATCATGACCCGAGCCAAAAGCAGACGCTTAACCGACTGAGCCACCCAGGCACCCCCAAATAACATGTTCTAATTTGTTTTTTTACCATAACGATACAGCTTGGATCTCATTCATTCATATGGCCCTGACTCATCCCATTAAACAGGGTAGTCGTCCAGCTAGACTCACCACTGCTGACTCATCTCCGTGCATGTGTGTTTCTGTGTGTGTGTAGTTAGCAATTTTCAACTAATTCATGTAATGCTGCAATCAAATCTTTGTATAAAAAATTGTGCCCTTGTACAAATACCTCTACTACATAGATTCTTAGAAATAAAACTGCTTGAGTCAAAGGTTCTGAACGTTCAAAATTGGTAATTATCAAGTTATACAAAAAGTTTCCCCACTCTGTTGGAATCCCAGTTAAGACATTCACGGAATATGTGAGCGCTACCTTTGTGTTTAGCATGGTGGAAGATGGGTAAAAAGCATGCTGAGGTCAAAATTCAAGTTTAGGAAGAAGGCAACTATGATCAGGGAGCAGGGGTATACAGGAGTCCTGTGTGGTGAGTTTGTGAGTTTTCTCTGTGAGGTGCATCACCTCATCTACACCTCACTACCCGTACAACTAATAGAAACTAACAGCATTTCCATTTTAAAAATGAGAAAACTGAGCAAAAGAGATTAAGTGACTTGTACATGGTCATATACTGATTAGTGTTACAGCCAGCATTCAAAGACTTCTCTCTCAAGCCATGTTTCTTAAAAAAAAAAAAAAAAAAAAGACCTGTGTTTCCAACAGCTATAGATACGCTTTATAACACAGAGCTGCAGAAGTGATTCTTAAGAACAGCCCAGGGGCGCCTGGGTGGTTCAGTCAGTTAAGCAACTGACTTCAGCTCAGATCATGATCTCAGGGTCTTGGGATCGAGTCCCACGTGGGGTTCTCTGCTTAGCAGGGGGCCTGCTTGTCCCTCTTCCTCTCCCCCTACCCCACTGGAGCTCTCAAAACAGACAAACAAAACAAAAACCCACGTAATAGCCCAACAGAACTCTCAGCTGAGGAGGTGCTGCCTTCCCTGGTGGTATCACTGTTCTATCTACCTTGGTATGATACCTTTCCTGAGTCAAAAGAAATTTCCTATGTGTAGTTGGCAAAAGCTTAAGCCTTTGATTATCAATGTGCAAAAAATGGCATCAGAGATAGTCCATTAAAAATTCTTTATTTGGGGGGCACCTGGGTGGCTCACAGTTGGTAGAGTGTCCAACTCAATCTCAGGTCTTGATCTCAGGGTTGTGAGTTCAAATTCCACATTGGGCATGGAGCTGCCCACTTTAAAAAAAATTCTTTATTTTGAAGAAAAGGGATAACTAAAGGTTAAGAATGATGTAAAGGGGGTCAAAAGGCACAAACTTCCAGCTATATAATAAGTCATGGGAATGTAATGTACAGCTTGATGACTACAGTTAATACTATACAGCATATTGGAAGGTCGCTGAGAGATCTTAAAAGTTCTTATCAACAAGGAAAAAACCACTATGCTAATGGATGTTGACTTACTGTGATCGTTTTGCAATATATACAAATATCAAATCATTATGTACCCGACACCAATGCTGTATGTCAATTATACCTCAAAAAATTTACAAAAACTTTGATATTTTAATTGAATCACACACCAAAAAAAAAAAGATGCTCCAACAGAACAAGGATCCGACAGCAACAGGTTTGTTGTCTCATCAGCACACACCCATCTTATGAGTATTTAACATACTTTATAACTTAAGAGTCTCAATGTTTGTTTCCACTGTGAGAATAAAATAACCACATCACAGAAAAGTTTAAGAAAAAATTCACAATTCCTTCATCTTTACCTGACAGTTATTTTGTTGTATCTGAAGGTACTATTTTCAAGATCTGCAGAAAATTTGGTTTCCATTTTTTCACTAATTTCTCTAACACTGCAATCAAATCTCTAAACATAAATCCTGTGCCCCTATACAAATACTTCTAAGATTTTTATGTAACAGAAACGCTGGATTGGAGCATTAGCATTTAAAATTGACAGGTTCAAATTTTCATACTAACACATTTATTTTATGGTCAACATATATATTCAAGAAAGGGGGAAATCATCTTATTTTGAACCATGCCTTTCACACTTACGAAACAGAAAGCAACATCAGACTCGAGACCCCAGGCCGTGTTTTGTACAAATGAAAATCATCTGAACTGTGCTCTAAGTCTCTTCCTTGGCCTGTAACCCACATGTACCTCCTATTTCCTGTTAAGAGTTAACCCCAAATTCAACTCCAGGAAATATTACTGAGGAAAATCATTGGATTCGTTTCTTCGGCA